TTTCGTATCACTCGATAAACAAATACAGTCCACTTTCCACACATTCGACTGGGACTTCAACGAGTGAAGTTCCTCCGCGTCGTTTAATCGTCGCCAATAAACCGTCGAAGCTGCGACGCACATACAGCCTCCGTCTGGTAAATTTGTGCGTGTTATCTTGAAGTATCGCGTTTTTTAACGTTTGCTTGAAGTAAGGTGGAATCTTTAATGTGTAAGAAATTTTACATTGTTTTAATTACGTGTCAGTTGAATTTTTACACCGAAAAGTATAAAGTGCACGAGTAGTCAGTGTCGTTAAAAAAAAATTACAAATATCGCCCTAATGTGTAGGAAATTTTCCATATTAGTTAAATCTGATCGCTGAATAATATCAAATCTCCCCCAAAATTGATCATTTTCCAACCTTTCGAAACTCTCAAAATTCACAGTGTAAAGCGAACGCGGGCACAAATTCGCTTTCAATTCGATTACCCGCCGATCATACTACTCGCAGAGAATTAAAGACGGTCGCTGCGCAGTTTGTAACACGCGATTATCATCGCCTCTCAATTAAACCCCTGGATTCCGCGTGTTAATTTCCACCGCTCGTTAACCCCGCTAGATCACACGCTCGTCGATCGGTGGCCCTTTTGAAAAACGATCGACGCATCAATCTTTTTCCCCCCAGCTTTTGTTCCCACGTCCAAGATTAACCCTCGCCGCCATCGTCCTTTTTCCCCTCTCTGTCTGCCGATAGATGAACGCTGTAACAATGGAGGAGCGGTGCTCGTTTTTATCATGCAGTTTTAATGGAAAACAGCGGGAATTGTTATAATCCAGAATAGTTTCTCGTTACTTTGAATCATGCCGGTGTATTATAATTTGAATAAAACCCGAAAGATAAGGAAAAAAAAAAAATACCTAGTTGAATTTAAGCTACGTCTAATTGCGATGGTGAAATGTTTTAACGAATCCCGAGGTTTCACCGGGAGTCCATGTTTCATTTACGCAAAAAATTACACGCGTTTCATCGGCACGGAAGAATTTTAAATAAAATTTCTATTCAGAAATCCTGCTCGTTGGTCGGTGAATGAAAAAAGGGGAAGAGAGAAGGATAAGTATCATTTTCGCTATATTTTCTGCAATTTCGAACATTCGTAATCACCGTAGTGAAGGAAGTTCGGTGTGGAAAGGGTCCAATTATCGAAACAAACCTCGGTGAGAATGGTTGGGTTATTAGACTAGCTTCAGCCACGTCAATTCGGATTCACGCGTGTTTCAAACGTCCTTAGCTTTGTTTTATCTGTATTTACAACGAGTCACCCACTTTCATCATTACTCTTCAGCTTCCAACTCTACTGCATAGTCACCACCCAGAGTCCATCTTCCCGGAACCCTTAACACGTTAAACGCCCAGCCTGTTTTGCTTACCGTTCCGTTCAGGCCACACTTGGCCGTCAAGTGGGCCATGCGAACTATAAACAGAAGACGACTAACGAAAAGTATACTGTCAGTCACTGGTGACTGACATCCGTCAAGTGGGCCATGCGAACTATAAACAGAAGACGACCAACGAAAAGTATACTGTCAGTCACTGGTGACTGACGCGGCCTGAACGGAAAGCATAGTGTCAGTCGCCGGTGACCGACATGGCGCTTAACGTGTTAAACAGCCCTATTTTCTCCATCTCTGCGTTCATTCTCTGTTTTACCACGCGCACGTCACGCAACGTCGAAATCTCTGTCGAATAAAGTTCTGTTTCTACGCAATGACGATCTTTAAGTGTTTTAACTCAGCGATACCCCAATATCTGCTCCTAGTTTCGAGGAATTGGAGCAAACCGGGCATCACAGTCCTGTTCCAGTGATGGCGAACCTTTTGAGCTCGGTGTGTCGAAACCTAGCTTACATCTAGAAATATCAGCGCGCCTTGACTGTTCTTGGGCGAAGACCGTCCGTAAACGATGCGTGCCACATTTGACACGCGTGTCATAGGTTCGCCATCACTGTCCTATTCTCTCGAAGACGAGGATTCTCTGCATATCATACTCGTTATTCTATTTATCATCCTCTGTTTTTCTGTGGAAGACGATCTTTTCGTGTTTTCTCGAGGATTCCGTGCATCTGATACTCATTCTTCCATTTTTTATTCTCCCTTTTTCGTATTGTCCAAGTTTCGATATTTGGAAATTTTTTAATATTTATCAGAAGTTATCAGATAAACGGGGAAAATTTTTAAGCTCAATGTACAGTTATTATTAATTTTTATTATTGCAACATTTCTGCGTGAGGTAAAAATTGATGGAAATATAGAGATCAGAAATGATCCGATGAACGGAGCAAAGTTCAACGTAGATGTAAATGTGAAGAATTTTGATTATTCTAATTACTAACTAATTTTGATAATTACAAAATTTCTGTGCGAAATAAAAATATGCAGAGATAAGCAAAGAAAATTTGTATCGCATTACAGAGATATTTTGCGATAAACACTACGTTGCATTATTAAAAGATAATACCGTCACTATGCAAATTACAATTGGACAGGAAAAACCCCTAGTTGCACCATACTGAAAAGTAGATATTTCAGACATCAGTTGAAAGAAGAAAAGTCCTCGCAGGATTTTACACTCGTATTTATCATTCATCTCTCATTTACCCACCCACAAACTTCCATAAATCACGAGGCAAATATTTATTCTCAGCAAATATTAATTAAATCACCGGTATCGGTAGCCAGATTTTCCAGCTTAATACCCAAAACCAGATCTTCCTTTCCATTACGATCGAAAAAACCAGCGGTATTACACAGCACGTATACTCACACACACGCAACATGCAGTTCTGGCATTCAACTTTAATTTTCGTTTCGCTTTCATGGCAAGAAAGAGGGTTTGTTTCTTGGTCTGTGAAAGAGGGTCAGGCTACCTAATAGCAATCCCGAGCGATTATTACAGTTTCTTCGCCCGCGGATCGCATTTTAACGAGCTACTTGGATTAATTAATTTTTAGCCCTCTCGTTACGTGCTCTATCGTTCCTCTTGACCTCTTATTTCTTCCCCCCTGGACGAAATTGGGCTGGTTTTCTTGCATGATACAAACCCCGTCCCTCTGGGAGCCACGTCAAGATGCACCTCTAGCATCCGGTAATAAGAATGAATTTTCAGATTCCAAAGGAGGGAATTCCCGTGGTTCAAGTTGCCAGAGGAATCTCTGTTATTTATCGTCGCGTTACCGGATTTCGCCGTGACTTTAAACAACGTGTAGAAGCATGTCGCGGTAGAGGAATGGAAGAAATTTTAGGTTGATTTTTATTAACACATTGAGCGCCGGCGACCCAAGAGACATTTAAAGCCTGAGCGCCGGCAACGTATCGGCCACTTAAAGCCTAAACGCCGGCCTCATTCGCTGGTTTCTGATCAACGAGTAGGCAAAAAGGATATTCAAAACGTTATACATTTTCGTAAAATAGTACATTTTAATTGCATATTCGTCATATACAATTTAACGTAAATGATATGGGTGAAAAGGTACAGAATAATAAGGCTTGTTATACTGTTCAACCAAAAGCGTAAGCGTACGAAAGATATACTGTCTGCGGAATACACTGCTCTGGGATTGTTTCTGAACCATCGTATACGTTTTGTTCTTAGAGTATAACAAATGAAGATCGACGTAACCATGACAAGTGAATGCGAATCGATGTGTAAGACACCGATACCAGCAAAAAAAATTCCACATCATCGTGGGGCCGGCGCTCAAGCGATAGACCCAGAAATCCGCATTATCGCGGGCCGGCGCTCAGGCGATAGACCCAGAATCCCGCATTATCGCGGGCCGGCGCTCAGGCGATAGACCCAGAATCCCGCATTATCGCGGGCCGGCGCTCAGGCGATAGACCCAGAATCCCGCATTATCGCGGGCCGGCGCTCAGGCGATAGACCCAGAATCCGGCGTTTTCACGGGGCCGGCGCTCAAGCGATAGACCCAGAAATCGGCACTATCGCGGGGCCGGCGCTCAATGTGTTAAGTTAGCGGAGAACGAATGAGAGGAAAAATAGTAAAATAGAAAAATATTGTAGAATTAGAGTGTTGGTACTCAAATAGGGAATTTACGAGGAAAAATAGAGAAGGCGTTATTGGGGTAGTGCGTAGAGTCTCGGCTTGCCAGTAGGAGGTCGCGGGTTCGATTCCCCGTTGGGTCCCTGGATTTTTTTCTCGGTTACTGCAATATTGCGATAGATTATAAATATTCAGGCGAGTGTTTGGGTCAGGAGATATAAATACGATAGGATTTTTCGTGTGGATGTTTAGTTTAGAGCGATAGCTACGTGGGTGAAGAGTACTTGAGCTGGAGCGATAGAGGTGTGATTGAACAGGGTTTGGAACGAGAGCGTGAGAGTATATCAGGTGAGAAAAGTGTGTGACCACTCAAAGATTTGGGTGGACGTGGTAGAATGCGTTTTGAGAATGTTCTGTAGAGTGTGAAAGAGCTAGAGAAATAGAGAATGAGCGGTGAGAGAGTCAGGAAAGGTGAATGACACTTGCTTTGAGAAAAGAGTTTACACAGAGAGAGAGAGAATCACAGAATTAATCGTTAAAAACTAATACAGAGAAGATAGAAACATTGTTATTATTAGAAATTGAACGAGATTCTCCGAGTGAAAATTCCAGAGTTAAGAGTTAAGCGTGTTAGCGTTAATAGTGTTAGCGTTAATATAGAGAAGACAGAGATATCGTTACTACTATACATTTACCGTTACAAATTTATCAAATATCTGTCAAAACAATTCCTACGATACATCTTTCGTATCAAATTTTCCCCCCGGTCCCATTTTGTCCCCACGATGTAACCACCCTTAGCGCATACATAATGTCCAAGAAATGATTACAAGCAGCAAAGTGTCTAACCGTACGATAAACTTGATCCCCCATTAACCTTAAGCCAACGAAAACTAGGATCCCGCTGGTTCCCGGACGATTTATAACTAATTCGTGAGGACGGTCTGGTTCTGTCCACAGTGTGCAGCGAGAATCCAGGTCTGAGCGGTCGTTACCACGCTGGACTCTGGAGTGGAAAACGTTGGTCCTGCTGCCGCTTGTCGACACGTTCCGCGGAGGGTTGCGACACTTGCAGCTCTTGGTCCTTTAAGCCGTTAAACGCAACGAACTCGTCCTCGACGTCCACTTCGAGCTTCACCTCGGCCACCGGAAGTACCATCGCCACCATTGCCGCCATAACCGATCGACCACAGACCACCAACTCCGAGGCGAACAACAATCCCATCGTTCATTCGCAGGCTCGCTCGACAATCGGTTCGTATCAACCTTCTCTTTTCTTTCTTTCCCTGTAATATTTCATTTCATCTGGCCCGGTTCTTTTTCTGCCGCGAAAAGTCTTCCCTCCTTCGTTCTCCAGACTCTCGAGACGAGGATTTTCCAGGAGAAAAGAAATTATGCTCGAAAGGATTATACTACGTGTAGTATCTACTTTGAACCGTGTTCGGGTGATCGATAATCTCGCGAGAACCGTGTTCGGGTGATCGATAATCTCGCGAGAACCGTGTCTCTCTAGGCTTCCAAGAATTGGAAAACTCTCATTTGCTAATGTAGCGTAATTCCGGATTAGCCTGCTGGCCATCCATCTTCGAAAGGTCATATTATGATAAACGATTCTTCTCTTTTCTTTGCCTCTGTCCCCCTCGGCGGAAAGCAGGAAAAAAGAGGTGCACGCTTTTTGCACGTGCGATTAGAATGATCGATAAAGAATTAAAGAACCCGAGGGGAGGATTTAGAGGCGTGTATAGTTCAAAGGTTGGCGAGAGGTATGCGTTTTAACTCGATTCTCGTACTCCTCCATGCGATACGTTTGCCAAGATCTGCGTTTCAAAAGGACGGAAAACTATCGTGCAGCCGCGGTGGAAGAAGACGTGGAAGAAGCAGAAGGAAGAAAAGGGGGATGAAAACGTCGAGGATGAACGTCTCTGTGACACGTCGAGCGTTTTCGCTTTTTCCCCACGGAATATGTGACACGAATCTCCCCTTTTTAAGATTCTCCTCCGCCAACTTTGACATTCTTAGGTGGTAAAAATATTTCGCCGCGATAACGAAGCCGTTCTCTTCCCCCCTTTTTTTTTTAATGGTCTTTCTTTCTCTCTTACACGGACTTTTTCAGAAGATTAGCGAATCGAGCCTGGCAGCAGATGCACTTAATTAATCCCTGGAGCTGGAGAATGTTAAATTCAACGCCAGTTTTCCGTTTAATCTGCGGCCTCTGGTTCCTTCCTGCCGGACTTTCCGTTGTATTTCGGGCTTACGGAACTCGCGAGTCCCTTTCCAGTTAAATATTAGCGAGTGCCGCGATAATTCCAAGACAAACTCCGCTGGTCATAAACGTCCGACCAGTTAATACCGGATTCCATTAGGTTCCCTTTAGTGGCTTTGAAATTCCAATCAGTTTCCCCTCGAATTGACAGTTGTGCCCAGTCTCGCGTCCACCGTGGCAACAACTCGGAAATTGCGTTATTCCTGGGTTCTAACAACTGATTTTACGTTGAACGAGAGGAGGACATTCATTGATTAAACTGTACTCCGTGAAAATCCTTAAATTTCTCTTCGATCCTGTCCTTGTACCTTGTATCTATAAGTTGGTGTAACTAGTTTTTATTCTCTTAACCAAGTTTTTACACTTTTACCACTGTATTTAAACGGCAGAGCTCTGTTTCACGAGAGCAGTGCGTCTTCTGAGCTAATTTAAGAGTCGATTGACGTGGCTTGTTATAAAAATGAGCTTCCGAAGGCTCCCCATCGACATTAACGTGATTTATCGTTCTTCAGTGTGGATATAAAAAAATACGTGTCGAATATTTTTTCGAGTACTATAATACACCAAAATTTCATCGCAATCGGTGATTCCCTCTTGGAGATATTCCCTCGTTAACTGTCTCGTTACTTACGAAAGAGAATACACACGATTGACCCAACTTTGCGTTCAATTTTCACCCCTTCATCGTGGATCTTAGCCGATATAAAAAAATACGTGTCGAATATTTTTTCGAGTACTATAATACACCAAAATTTCATCGCAATCGGTGATTCCCTCTTGGAGATATTCCCTCGTTAACTGTCTCGTTACTTACGAAAGAGAATACACACGATTGACCCAACTTTGCGTTCAATTTTCACCCCTTCATCGTGGATCTTAGCCGATATAAAAAAATACGTGTCGAATATTTTTTCGAGTACTATAATACACCAAAATTTCATCGCAATCGGTGATTCCCTCTTGGAGATATTCCCTCGTTAACTGTCTCGTTACTTACGAAAGAGAATACACACGATTGACCCAACTTTGCGTTCAATTTTCACCCCTTCATCGTGGATCTTAGCCGATATAAAAAAATACGTGTCGAATATTTTTTCGAGTACTATAATACACCAAAATTTCATCGCAATCGGTGATTCCCTCTTGGAGATATTCCCTCGTTAACTGTTTCGTTACTTACGAAAGAGAATACACACGATTGACCCAACTTTGAGTTCAATTTTCATCTCTTCATCGTGGATCAGAGCCGATATAAAAAAATACGTGTCAAATATTTTTTCGAGTACTCTAATACACCAAAATTTCATCGCAATCGGTGATTCCCTCTTGGAGATATTCCCTCATTAACTGTTTCGTTACTTACGAAAGAGAATACACACGATTGACCCAACTTTGAGTTCAATTTTCATCTCTTCATCGTTCTTCAGTGTGGATATAAAAAAATACGTGTCGAATATTTTTTCGAGAACTATTATACACCAAAATTTCATCGCAATCGGTGATTCCCTCTTGGAGATATTCCCTCATTAACTGTTTCGTTACTTACGAAAGAGAATACACACGATTGACCCAACTTTGAGTTCAATTTTCATCCCTTCATCGTGGATCAGAGCCGATATAAAAAAATACGTGTCGAATATTTTTTCGAGTACTATAATACACCAAAATTTCATCGCAATCGGCGATTCCCTCTTGGAGATATTCCCTCGTTAACTGTTTCGTTATTTACGAAAGAGAATACACACGATTGACCCAACTTTGAGTTCAATTTTCATCTCTTCATCGTGGATCAGAGCCGATATAAAAAAATACGTGTCGAATATTTTTTCGAGTACTATAATACACCAAAATTTCATCGCAATCGGCGATTCCCTCTTGGAGATATTCCCTCGTTAACTGTTTCGTTATTTACGAAAGAGAATACACACGATTGACCCAACTTTGAGTTCAATTTTCATCTCTTCATCGTGGATCAGAGCCGATATAAAAAAATACGTGTCGAATATTTTTTCGAGTACTATAATACACCAAAATTTCATCGCAATCGGCGATTCCCTCTTGGAGATATTCCCTCGTTAACTGTTTCGTTATTTACGAAAGAGAATACACACGATTGACCCAACTTTGAGTTCAATTTTCATCTCTTCATCGTGGGTCTTAGCCGATATAAAAAAATACGTGTCAAATATTTTTTCGAGTACTATAATACACCAAAGTTTCATCGAAATCGGTGATCATCACACTTGGGAATGTTCCTTTATTAGAATAGTCCGCTTTTCTCTTTTTTATTTTGGGTGATAATAGAAAATTCGGTAGTCAGTTTGTTGTATCGATATTTCCAAGGGAAATTGGCAGCCTTTTTTTTAGATTTAGTAAAATTTTATTGAAATTTTTCAGGGAATGAGCATTAAATTTGCTATTTTTTCCTTTGCAAATGGACCCAGAAAATAGCGGACTATCCACGAACTTCCAAAGTATAATAAAAAAATCCTCAACTAATCGTACATTATCGTCGAAATTTTCAACCATACTATACGTTCACGTTCGACACATAAAGCCCTATTTTTTGATGCCATTCTTCCACCGTTCTCCACTGTTCTGAAAAAAATTCAACGTCAGGTCTTTTCTGCCACGTTCGATCTTCTATCTTACGTGGTATCGAGACGAACATTTCCAGTTCCATCGATACTGCTGGCAAAAGTCGTGGAAGATGGACTCCAGAGGACAGCGATGGGGGAATGAAACACGAAATAAGGGATGAAATTCGACGGGCGCAGTTGAACGGGTCAACGCACAGCGATAGCATTCTTTGTGTCTTGCTCTTTATGCTGTCATTGTGCATCGACCCATTTGACGTGCCTCTTTATATTCTATTTTTCCTGTTCCATCATCGCGCATCGATCCATTCGATGCATCGTCGATTTTCCTCCTCCTTCGTCGTCTTTCTCCTTTTTCCTCACGTTCCAATGGCTAGACACATTCCGCGTTTATCTTTCCGCTATACTTCTGTCCTTTCGACTGGACAATTATTATCCTTCGAACGGCGTCGAATAGTCGGTGGTATCTTTATTATTTTTTGGATGGAAGTGGAAAATTTGATAGTCAGTTTTAGTCGAATTTTAGTGAGATTTTTTCTTTTGTGCGAGGAATATTTTTCGTTTCAGTGTGGACACAGAGGAGAGTGGTGCAATTGGAAATTTGAAAGAAAATTAAAATTCTATTTTTTGTGTTTAAAAAATATTAGGTCTACCGGAAAGTTCTGTCCGTTTTTGAATTAAAAAAATAATAATACATTTTCAATACATTTATTAATATTTACCGAACAATATAATTTCCATCGATACTAATGACCTCTTCCCAGCGTGATGGTAATTTGTGGATTCCATTTCTGTAGAATGACTCATATTTGGATCTTGAGATAACATTATCAGACAGAACTTTCCGGTAGACCTAATATTTCTCCTTTCCAAATTGACCCAGAGAAAAGTGGTTCAATTAGAAAATCGGAAGAAAATTAAAATTCCATTCCTTTTGTTTAAAGAATATTCTTCCTTTCCAAGTGGACACAGAGGAAAGTGGTTCAATTAGAAAATCGAAAGAAAATTAAAATTCCATTCCTTTTGTTTAAAGAATATTGTTCCCTTCCAAGTGAACTCAGAGAAAGGTGTCACGATTGGAAATTTAAAATAAAATTAAAATTCTATTCTTTCTGCCTAAAGAATATTTCCCTTTTCAAGCGGGTGCAACAGAAAACTCGAAAAAAAAAAATGAAACTCCTAAATACCATCTACCCTGAAATCCTCCCACTTCTCGATTCCATCATATTCTCCTCCGAGAACCTAGTCCCATTTTTGAGTTATCTTAGACGTGCAAACAGCTTTCACCGTATCAGGTACAGCTGTTCCGTTTCCCTCGAATATTTCATCCGATTATTTTCCTCAAGTTGCTTCCCCGAACAACTATCCCGTTCCTCGTAACCGCGGTCTTGTCT